TAATAAAACTGGCCCGGCCCGCCAGAGTGCTTATCCTGGCGAGCCACGTGCCGAACGTTGCCAACCCCTGGCCTAGTACTTGCTAGTGTTATGACTGAAGATGGACCTAAACCAAGTCCCCAGAGCTAAAACACATCAAACGTTGAGGAAAGATTTTAGATCCAATCTTGCAGCTTTTATCAAATTCAAGTGAAGAATAATATTGTTTTTTCCAAAGCAAAATATGAAGGTCAGAATTTGAGAGAAGGGGACAACTGGTATGTCTGTGCAAACAAACGTGCAAATCAGGAGACTGCACACCTCTCAGTCTGCAATTACCTGTTTTACACATGTTGTGTAAGGCACAGATACGGCAATCTCCTTCAAAAAACTATTCTTGGTATATCTGAGATATTTAAAATAGGGAGCAAAGCAGAGCTGAGCAACAATGAACTAGCGAAGAGGCGGGATGTGGTTTTTAACACTTTGCAGCTCCTCCAAGCAAGAGCAAACAGCATCCATCTCGGTTAGGAAGAGTCAAGAATAAAGTGCAATGACACCACCTATTGGTGAGAACTTGTGGAACATCTCTGAAACCAAAGCAGTTCTTTTTCCAGAGGACTCCAACTAAAATCCTACCCATCCTATGGTTGAAACTGTGCTAGCAACAACTGTAACCTAGGAAATCTGCACTAGTGGGTTCTGGAATAACAACAACTGAAATGATAGTGATAAAAAAAGTACTACAGCCAGCCAGTGGGGGAAATCTACAGCCGTTTCCTATGACTGACAAAACTGTTTAGCAACCAACATGTGCATTTAAACACAACGTTCAACTGTCATGTGAACAGGGCCTAGTCTATCAGAATATACCCCATTGCAGCATATGTCCTAGCCAGCGTGGGTAGTTTTGGCTGGCCAAAATTCCCTTTCAGGTCCTGTGGCACAGGCCAGAGCAGGATCTGGGCTTTGCCCTACCAATCTTTGGCCTTGCATGAGACTGCTAAAAAAAGGTGTCAGTTTGGTCCAGGAAATAAATATTTCAAGGATTTTTTTTCCTTTTTAGTGGGAAAAAATACTAAGCTACTCTTAATATCATGGATATTAATATTGGGATCAAAATTAACAAAGGCTCTTAGAACAGGGACTAACCTACCATTGTGCCCACTAGGATCTCAGTGCAGTCAGGAATATCAACGTCGGCTAAACTGATTAAGCTGGTGCCTTCCGCAGAGTCATCTTCAAAGCTCTTGGACATTTTAAAAGGTACGTCATCCAGACAGCTCATATTGGCTCTTGATATTTTGCAATCTAGCAGAAAATGAGTAAATAAAAAGAAGTCTCAGTAAATGTAACGTGAAACAGTAGGGCAATAGCATTTCACATGCCCGATCCTTAAAAAGACATGAAAGGTGAGGCAAAGTAGATATATGCTAACGACCGCAAATAAAAATAATTTAGCTTTTGAACATAGTTTAGAGAGAAGTGAAAAGTACTATATGCTGCTGATTCTGGTAAAGTAAAAGAGCGGCGTACGCTATGAACAACACTGAAAATCGTACGAACTGTATTTGGTGTCAGATACTAGAAATATTTACATAAAGGGCTAAACTTTATTATTAGATGAAGGAATTTGTGATGAACATGGAGTAGGGGCTCTGTGGTTAGCCCAAATCTCCAGGGTTCACGATTTGGATGATAGAAAGAGTTGCAGAACCCAAATGTGATTCATATTGAACATGTGAACACAATTACTTCACTTCACTCATAGAGGTCAGACCGTCGATCTTACTCCCTGTAATTCTGCTGCACATCTGGGCAGGCCTGTCCTATGGCCCACCTATGGTCTGTGCTCAACGCTACATTAGCGACATACTGTTCTTGTGCAGAATCAGGTCTGTCCACTCACGCAGAGGAACTGACAACTAAGCTCTTGCCATGGACGATTAAAGGAGACAGGTTTTTTATTCCACATGCCAGTTTGCATTCTGCCAAACAGACTTTCTAGGTTCCACTGCAGTGCACATCTATACATGTCCAGAATGTGCCTGGAACCAGCTAATCTATCTTCTTGGCCCTACATTTCTAACCTCAAGAGAAGTGCTTATGAAGAACCAGCATGCAGTTATTCTTTTATCCTTTTTCCAGAGAAGAGCCTGTAACTGCCACTCATTTGCATATGTGAACTTTCAGTTCGTTAGTTTAAATGGCTTTCCAAATCTTTGACAGCCAACAGTCCTCTCTTCTATCCCCTCATCAAGTGTTCTGTTTTGGTACCCATGGTAAGTGATGATAACTTGAACAGGTGGCATATAGTCCCAGTGTGGCATGGAGTCACCAAAAGTCACCTCGACTCCAGCTTCATTTGCAGCATGATAAAGACTCATTCATTCTCCACTTCCATCCTCCACTATATTCAAGTTTAATTCCCCATATATTTTCAATACTCTCCATTCACTTCCCTTTCTTCCTTCCCCTCACTATTCCCACTCTATTCTCAACTGCCACATAGCTCCTCACATCATCCATCCACCATTCTTCCTTCCATTCCCTCTCCCAACCAGAAAGCGGAATACAGGGAAAGGACCAACTGGCAATTCTTCTGGAGATGGAGCCTAAAATGGCATCTCAGGAAGCCACTGCTCAGCCTCTCCACCCTTTATGCAGTTTAAGGATGACCCTGGGTTGCGGGGAGGGGTAGGCAGTTTCAACCATGGACTGGTAGGCCAGTGGCCAGGGAATAGTAGAGGGGAAGCACAAATAGACTTCCTCCTAGCCCAGTTGACATGACCCAGCAGCAACCCTAGCAAGGTCAGAGCTCAGCAGTGCAATCCCCAGGGCTTTCCCTCCTCTTCACCCCCCCCCCCATGGCTGGCCCACTTGGGGTTTAAAGAGCAGGTGGAAGGTGACTGCTGAGATGGCATTGGAGCATCTTAAGAGACGCACACAAATCCAGATGAGATTACTGGAAAGAGGAGAGAATTGCTGACATTACTGTTGTGCACACACATATATCCCTTTCTCCAGCTCTGCCTCATTGGGAGAAACAACCCCCATCCCCCATCAGACTCAAATGTAGCATGCTCACATTTATTCCTACGAGTTATTTAAATAAAAAATGCAGATTAACGAGGGTCAGTCCATACAGTTTATTTCTACGTGATTTAACATCTCTCTCTGCCATATCAGTCATTTTCCTAAGCTCTTCGGTTGGGAGGTTTTGCCCACATTGTTTTCCAGACCCTGCTACTGTGAGGGCTGAGATATAACCACACTTATTGTTAGAGGGATGTTGCTATTATATTATCTAGATAAACTTTAAAAAGAAACCAAATAATGTTTAGTGTGGACAAGTTTTTGTGTGGTCAGAACGGCCGGGAGAGAAGGGCGGAATCTGATGAACGGGGATTAGTGGCATGGGAAGTATTCCTACAATTGTGCCAATAGATTTAAGCTATGAATGACTCCATTTGGTGAAAAATAAAGATTCTGTTGCATAGACAGATGAAGAATCCCAGTTCCCTAATTTCTTATCTATGATGGGCTGATAGATGTTTTCCTTTTGCATAATGTTAACTGGCAAGTCTCGATCGCAAGTCTTCTAACAAGACTTGGAATCTAAAGTCTGAACTTGTTAAAAAAAAAATCCCTACACAGCAGTTCCTTATAATCTTGCTGAAGAAATAAAAAGTAGTTGGAATCAGGTCAATTTTCACAAAACTGTTCTGCCCATAATTTTTTCAAACAAGAGGGAGGGTATGTTCATTAGTGAGGATAAATACGTCAAAAAAGAAGCAGAATTTATACAAAAAGGACATAGCAGCACCGTATATAAAACTAAGAACAATGTGGATCTAACAAGGAAGAGGCACCTAATCAACTCACAGCCAGACTTCCATTCATTAGGAAATAAATTTAAATACTGCTGTTGCTAGACTAAAGTATCAACATTCCTATGCACAATTCCTAGGTGCAACTGACCTAATTAACATATTCAGTTTATATTAACATTATTTGGATTGTTACTACAAGGATTATGTGCATCCAGGGCTGTAGTTGTAGCCAGATGGACAATAACCAGTTTTGCAATGCTGCACGTGTATTTTCACTAATACATTTCACGTGCAACAAGTTGGAATCCTACACAGGCATAGACCATCTGCTTCCATACGTAAGAGAGGTTCAGCATAAGCTCCAGCTTGCATAAGTGTCACAGAAAAACCTAGCCAAACTGTATGTGAAAACAGATGATTGTGAAGCATTGCTCTGAGTTACCTGGACTGTATATACTGAAGAGTCCACACGTACATAGATAATATTACCTTGCAGACATTGCGCACTGCAGGAAGAGAAGTACTGTAGGGTTAAATAATAAACAGAGCCTTTGTCTCAAAATAGGTGCAACTTCCATTATTGTCAATGGTAGTCAGGTATGTATATGGGAAAAAAGGGCATTTTGTTAGCTTTTCCTAAAGGAAGATTTTTAAAAGTCACCTTTATGGATTAAATGAGGAGGGTTAATGCAATCCCTAAAGCCACCATGAACATAACAATTGGTGTTTGACATCTGTCTGAAATATTTGCTATACTGGATTTACCAAAACATAGGCTTGTTTACACACACAAGTTAATCCACTTTAATAACTGGTATAGTTAAAGCAGTACAATCCCCCTAGTATGAATGCAGTCATACCCATATAAAAGTGCTTTATACCAGTATAGCCATTCCCATACAAGGAGAATAAAATATACTGGTAGAACTGTATCCACAGCAGGAGTTGTACTGGTATAACTATTTTTATAAAAAAAAAAATCACTACCACCACCCATGAAAATAATTATACTGGTACAAAAATTGTTTGTACATCAGACCTAAGAAGTGGCGACTACTAGAGACACACTAGACAATGGTCAATCAGCACTACAAATATTTTCAGAGGTCCATAGCTTGGATTATAATGCCAAACGGACCATTATGATATGCTATAAAAATATATAACTGAGGCTTCCACTTTTAAGATCACAAGGAAGCCTTCCTGCCTAAAAAAATAAAAGCAGAGTTACCAGTAAATACTAGTTTACACCAAAACACACTTGTAACAAGGATTCTGAACTCACTCATCCAGTGACATCTTCACATCACTCTTAGTCAGTGGATCCAGGCTGACAGATTAATTAATACACATCAAGTCAATTAAAAAAAAAAGAGGACACTTAGTACAGGCGTACACAGAATGTCTTACTGCCATACACAACTGAAATTGTATTGCGACCAGACATGGAATTGGACCCAAAGTAGCCA